AACATAATTATATTTAGAATTATTGTAAATATTTTATACTTTAGAATATTCTCTTTGTATACTTTATACCTTAGAATATTCTCTTTGTAAACACCGATATATAGGTCGTTGTACATACAGTATAATTCAAGAAAGCAATAAACCTTTCTTCAGATATTTCTCCTTCTTTTCGGTTTCTAACATGGTATCAGAGCTATAAGCTCTTGGTTCTTTTCTCTTATCATCGCTGTTGGGTTTTTTGGAGTTGGAAATCCATTCCAGATCTGAAACTTTGTCATTGGGATCTCTTCTCATACAAATTGGATTGTTTATCCTCGATTCTCAGACCCTTTCTGAGGTATTTTGTTGGTTTGTTATTTCGATCTTGGCATCTATTTCTCCATATTTTTAGAGTTTTTCAGTATTATGAGTTTACTGATTCTATGACGAGTTTTGAAAGGATTGTAACTCATCTTGCTACTGCTATGGTTGCCAAAGAAGTGATAGAACAACCTAATGTCAACCTTGAATCCCTAAAACAGGTGATATTAAATCTTTTTAATGCTCTTACTGCCTTATCTACTGCTCCGGGTACCAAACCTTGGTATTTCGATTCTGGTTGTTGTAACCATATGTCTTCAATTACTGCTCATTTCTCTTCAATTACTGCTCATTTCTCTTCAATGTCACCTAACAATTCCTTTCCTGATATTTATTCTGCTGATGGTTCCCCTATGAATGTTAGTCATATTGGTAATGTTTCTACAAAGTCATTGACTTTATCAAATGCCCTTTTAGTTCTAAAACTTAGTTATAATCTTCTATTTGTCGGTCAATTATGCGATCTTGGTCTTGAAGTAACATTTTCTGCTCATGGTTGTAGTGTGCAGGACCTACGGACAGGACAACTTCTTGGAACTGGTCGCAAGGTGGGGCGTTTGTTTGAGCTCAACTATCTGCATATTCCTGATAATAAAATGGATACACCATCATTTCCAAATGATCGATTCATTCAAACCCTGCTTTGTGCTATTGAATTAGAGTCTTTGCAAATTCCATATCAACAAATCTTCTAAGTCTGTGCTGCTACTAACATTTCTCCTCTCCATTTGTGGCACTCACGACTAGGACATACCTCTGTCGGTAAACTTCGTCCACTTATCTCTCGTGGTTTATTAGGATCAGTTCCGAATGAATCTGTGCATTGTGTGTCATGTCAATCTGCAAAGCAACCAGCTTTATCTTTTTCGAGTAGTTATTCCCATTATACTGCTCCTTTTGATCTTGTGCAGTCTGATGTTTGGGGTCCATCTCCTACACCCACTATGGGGGGTTCCAGGTACTTTGTGTTATTTATTGATGATAATACTCGTTTTACCTGGATATACCTTATGAAAAGTCACTCTGAATTATCACAAATTTATATTGATTTTGCTACCATGGTCAAAACCCAATTCTCTAAAATTATCAAAGTTTTGAGAACTGACAATGCTACTAAATATCTTGGTACTAAACTTCAATCTTTTTTGAAAGATCAGGGCACACTGCCACAACAATCTTGTCCTTATACTTCTGAATAAAATGGGCGAGCCGAACGCAAACACAGACACATCCTTGATTCTGTTCGTGCTCTACTCATTTCATCCTCTTATCCAGAGCGATTTTGGGGTAAGGCTGCTCTTACAGCTCTTATCTTATTAATCCCATTCCATCATCAGTCCTTAATAACCAGTCTCCATATGAGCGTCTACATGGTATTCTTCCTGCTTATAATCTTCTTAAGGTTTTTGGTTGTGCATGTTTTGTT